AAATCCGGCTGAGCCAACCCAATACAACTATTGTCAAAAAAGAAAATACGCATCATTTTACTTTTCATAAGATATTTCTTGGTCTGTACCTGCTGTTTGAATTCAGAAAGTAATAAAGTAGTTGACTAATCCCAAATGACACACATGGTGTTAGAATTTGAGTGTCTTTTACTTGCAGGCTGTTGATCCGGTAGAGTATTTTCAATTACTTACGTGTATGTGAATTCTAAATATATGAAACTATAAAACACGGTTCATAAAACTGCTAGTATGACTGGATCATCTGCATTTTGAATTTTGTGTAGTTCTGAGGTGACAAATCTCAAATTTTATTTAACCAGATACAGGACAGAAGGTCAGTAATTCTTGACCATATTGCCTCTGATGCATTGCACTGCAGTCCTTGGCTTTGATAAGAATAGAGCCCAGCCTGCTATCAGATTGTGCTCTGGTCGGCTCTCACAATTCTAACCAGTTAGTTCTAACGTACAATGTTCTTTTTCATTTAGGGCTTATTATCGTTCCTCAGTGCCCCACTCATAGGTGCCCTGTCTGATGTGTGGGGACGGAAGTCCTTTTTGCTGCTAACAGTATTTTTCACCTGTGCACCAATACCACTGATGAAGATCAGCCCATGGTTAGTAAATTCTCTCACACTGGATTTGTTGTTTCTTGCCAACGTTGCTTATACAATGCTTATGTCTGTAGCATTGTGGATAACATATTGTTTGTGCTCGGTGGAAGGTTGAGGCTTTTGTATCACTTGGGTGCAAAGTTGGGAGAGCAGAGTCAAACTGACATAGTTGCCACGAGGCTGAAGGGCTTAGTCCGAATTGTAAGAGCAGCTGGTTTTGAGCTGTAGGCCCCACTTCCTACTTCAGCACATTCGCAGAAGGCGCTGGAATGCTGTCCTGCTGTCCGGTCATCTGTGCGGTGTTCATTGTGTCTGTATTGCTCAAACAGTAACCAGCTATGCAGAAATGAAAACCTTACCTAGCTACTGCATGAAGTAACCATTGGTAACCCACAGTGTTACTGCAGTTGTATGCTTTAATTTCTCAAGTTTTAAAATCCACCAGCTGTCCCGCTGTGTACAAGCCCGTAAGCTCTGACTGACCCAGAGGTTGCCCAGGTAGCACCAGAGTCAGAACCCTCAGCGTTGCTGGGCTGCCCACGTGCTGTGCTGATGCAGGGCAGAGCCAGCTCTTGGGGTCGCTCTTTGGCCTTTCCATTTTTCTCTCCAGTCACAGATAAAAAAAATACCGGAGTTCCTAATTTGCTTTGAGTTGTAGGCATCCTGTCAAAGTCAGTCTGACACCTCGTTTCCAAGAAGTGCTTAATCGCAGCAGCGGTTTGTAGATGTTACAAAATGACGCTGTTTTCCTTTTATGTTTTTGTGTACAGTTGCACAACTGTATTGAGACACGTTCAGATTGGCTTTATCCAAGTTTATCTTAATATTTGTCAGGAAGAGTTGGACAAGATGATTTACTGTTGAACTGTACTTAGATTGTAAATAGAGATTTCTTTTTTGTTTCTATATATCTGTTCTGTTTTTTACTAATGTTCTTAGGTGGTACTTCGCTGTCATCTCTGTCTCTGGAGTTTTTGCAGTGACGTTTTCTGTGGTTTTCGCATATGTAGCAGACATAACCCAAGAACATGAAAGAAGCATGGCCTATGGTTTGGTATGTATTTTTTTGGTTCTGTTCCTTTGGTATTCGGTAGCTAAAGCTTTTCAAAACTGTGGTTTTGTTTCATCTCTGGCAAGTTAATTTTAGTTTGGAGTAAGGTTTTTCTGTTTCATTGCTCTTGGCATCCAGTCCTGTATCTCTTGAATATTCTAACTTAAAATCTGACTGAGCTAAAAGTTGTCTTACAGATACCTGTCTTAACAGTTATTATCAGCATTAATTATGTAATTTCAGGAGTTTTAGTTATTCCTGTTTTTTCTCACACTAGTACTACTGTGTCATCCTTCCAAAATCTAACCTTTTGTTCACGGTTAATTTTGGAACTGCCATCATATGCTATCTTGAGTTCTGTTGTTTCTCCAGTCACTGCTGCACTTCAGCTTGGAGCAGCTTGTTTGTGCTCTGTCCTTCGAGCTCATCTGTTCTGCAGGAACCTGCCAGGTGTCAGGGGCCTTTGCAGCCCTGGGTATTAAATTATTGGTTGTGCTCACGTTACAGAAGAGCTGAAAGCAGTGGATATAGAACTAAATAGTTTCTTTCTGCCCGTACACATCAGGCATTGGGATATGTTGAGGAAGTTCTTTCAGTTTTAAAGTTACGATCTTTGCCAAGGCCAGCTGGTTAACTGAACTGCTTCTGGAAGATTCCTTGTACCAAGTTGGACTAACTAGTATATCAAATTTAATATGCCTCGATAAATACAATATTTTCTCTTAACAGGCATTGCTTATTTCACTAATATGAAATTAAACACAGCTTATGACTTCCCAGAGATATCAGCAGACTCCACAGTTAAGGAAAGCTAGTTATATCAGTATATGCAAGAGTGCTGCGAGCCTCGCGTTGCTGTCCAGTTACTGAAAAATACACTGCTTTTCTTGAGCAGTTTTGACCGACCGTCTGAAATACGCAGCTCCTACCATTTAGTAACAGCAGATCAGTTACTTTCAATGAACACCTGATGAAAATGGTTAGGCTTCTGAAAATGAGGAGAAGTGGATAGTAGTAATAATGCTGTTGACTTATGTGACTGAATGTCTTACCAGCTGTTACCTGTTCCAGGTTTCAGCAACTTTTGCAGCAAGTTTAGTCACCAGCCCTGCTATTGGTGCCTACCTGGGTCGGGTCTATGGAGACAGCCTGGTCGTGGTCCTGGCTACGGCAATAGCCTTGCTGGACATCTGCTTTATTCTTGTTGCCGTGCCAGAGTCACTGCCCGAGAAGATGAGGCCAGCGTCCTGGGGAGCGCCCATTTCATGGGAACAGGCTGACCCTTTTGCAGTAAGCTACTTTTACAACAAAATATTCCATGTTTATGTTGAGCTTTTGAGACTGGGCAGACACTGAATTTACCGTTTCAAGCCTGAAAAGTAAAGCCTGTGTTTTTTCATTTTATCTTGTGTTACTGTGAATACGTTTGCCAACGTTCTTGCTAAACATGCAGGAACTGTTTTGGTGGTACCACACAGTAGCTTCACTGATGTACTTCTCAGGTTGCTGCTAGGTGTGCTTTTATGGATGTGAAGATTAAGTGTTTTATAATACTTTTTTCTTGCCGTAGTCACTGAAGAAGGTTGGCCAGGACTCAATTGTGCTGCTAATCTGCATAACAGTCTTTCTTTCCTACCTCCCAGAGGCAGGACAATATTCCAGCTTCTTCCTATACCTCAGACAGGTAACAACATTTTGATACGAACAAAAGTAAATTTATAGGAAAGTTTTCAGTATTGCTGAATTAGTACTGACAGCAGAGATAGCTTGTATAATTTAAGAGCTTCCAGCAGCTAATTTAAGTCCTCTTGTGCTGTTTCTGTCTCTTTTTAGAGAGATAAAAAAAGAGGAGACATGAGTTAGTTTCTTGTATTTTGTAATTATTTGCAGTAGACTACGAGGGTCAGTGTTACACTGTTTATTTTCTTGAAGAAACCATTTATTTGCTTTCTATTCATGCCCCTTTACTTTTGTATACTTGCTTGATTTAGTAAAACAAACAAACAAAAAACAAAACCACAGCTGTTTTTTTAAGCTAGGGAGGAGTTTAATACCAGCCTTCTGCAGTGTGCATTCCCCCACTCATGTTTATAACATCACGATACATGGTTTACAGTTAATAATCCAATTCCCTTCTTTTTAATATAGATAATGGGATTTTCATCTGAAAGTGTTGCAGCATTTATAGCAGTCCTTGGGATTCTTTCCATTATTGCACAGGTGAGTTACTCAAACGTATTTTACTGGTTTGTTAACTTTGAAAGAACTGAACATTGTGGAGAACTTCTCTGACATTGTGGTTCCAGCAGTGTGACACCTTTGCTGTAGCTGTGTCCATAAGTCTCTAACAATTGATGAACACTCTAACTTAGATGACAAAACAGCTTGGCGACCAGGGCTTGGTTCATTAATATCCCAGGTGTATTGTGTTGGAAAACTAAATCCAAGATGGGGTGACTGTTTGTATTATTAGCTGAATGATTGCTGGGGTTTTGGTAGAGGCTTGTATTTGACTGCTTTTGGAGAATTTTAGTTGGCTTTAAAAAATTAATTTATTTATTTGCATGTATTTAACTTCTAGTATGTTGGTTTGGGATTTATATAACTTTTTTTCCCTCTCTGTCAGACAATAGTTTTGAGTTTACTTATGCGGTCCATTGGAAATAAAAACACCATTCTCCTGGGCCTAGGATTTCAAATACTACAGCTTGCGTGGTATGGCTTCGGATCAGAACCATGGTACGTACATTTCATTTTAATATCTGAAATCTATGGTATTGTTCTGCATTTTATCCTTCATCCAAGGGAGACACTTTAAGTGTGCATGAGTACACATATATACACACACAAACACACACGCACCTACACGCCTATGTGCTGCAAACGCAGAACAGTTACACCCATGCAGAGCAGTTACGTGGAGTCCGTATTTTTTTGCAGGATGATGTGGGCAGCTGGTGCTGTTGCAGCTATGTCCAGTATTACTTTCCCAGCTGTAAGCGCACTGGTTTCGCGAACTGCTGATGCTGACCAACAGGGTACGTTTTGTCCTAATACTTGGAATTCTAGTCAAGCATTACTGTGAAGACAGACGTGTCAGGACGGTGTCTTAGTGCTGGCCAGTCAGCTTGACTCTTGGCACAAAGTAGCCCCCACACCTGAGCATGGGTCACAAACTGTTAAAATCCAGCTTACTTGGAAGTTGCAGTGTGTGTATCGCGTCCTTCTGGCACCGAAGCAGCTCCCAGCAGTGGCAAACTGTTCGGCAATCTCAGTCTGCTGTTCGTTGTCCTCACGTGTGACAAAAGTTTGCGTAGTTGCCCAGGTTGTGCACAGTGCTCCTGTGAGGCACACACGCTGCTCTCGGACTGAGCACAGCGTGGGGAGGGTTACTCCGTGCCTACACGGAGATGTCATTATAGTGACAGTTTTTCTGAGCCCCTTGCGTACTGCTGCCTGTAGTGCAACACCTTTTAGAGCAGCTTTCCTGCTTGCTTTGCTTTGAAGGTCAAGTCAATAAAGTCTTACTGATCCATAAAAAATCGTTAATTATGTTATATATCAGTGTAGATAGGTAACAGGGTGTTGTACTTTTCCCAGGTGTTGTTCAAGGGATGATAACAGGAATTCGAGGACTGTGTAATGGTTTGGGACCAGCACTGTATGGTTTTATATTCTATATATTTCATGTTGAACTGAACGAACTCCCTATGTCTGAATCACCATCAGGAGGTAGCGTGGTCACACAGTACCATTTACAACAGGTATTCTTTTACTTACCGATTCCTAAAAAAGAAATTGGGAAAGGATCACGTGCCCACCAGTTCTTGAGTATGATACTGTATTACATATTGTTATGGTAAATGAAGTGTGTTAAAAAAAAAAAAAAAAAAGGCTCTTAAATCACTCATCACTCTTGGGGAAAGTTGTTCATCTGTTTGTTTGCTTTTGGTATGGTTTAGTTTAACTTTCAAGTAGACAGTAATTAGACCCTTGTAAAGAGAATGAGGGACTGGTAACAAGTGTCCCACTCTTGTCTCCCTCATTTTTTATTTACCTTTCACATGTTGTATGTTCTTGTTTTGCTGTCTTTTAACCAAGGTTTGCATTTATTTTAGTTCTAATAGATATTAGTATGTTGAGGAAACTACACAGGGAGAATTTGTACTAGAAAAGGAAGTTAGTGTGCATTAATCCAAAGGATGTGCTCCCTGTCTTGTCTTCTACGTCTTGGGATGTGACATTCTTTCTGCGTGGGGTCAAGTACTGTATTGGCTAGTGTAGCACGAAAAAGTTCTTCCCACTCCTGAACTTTGTGTAATTAGGAACTGTAGTCTGTTAATGTATCTAAATTAAGAAATTAATGCTAGCACTTAACTGAACTCCTTGTGCTGTTACTGTTGTTTTCAGAATTCTATAATTCCTGGACCTCCATTCTTATTTGGAGCATGCTCCGTGCTGTTGGCACTACTCGTTGCCTTGTTCATTCCTGAACACACGAACCTCACGGTGCGCTCTGGCAACTGGAAGAAGCACTGTGGCAGCCACAGCCACCCCCACAGTCCCCAGGCCCCTGGTGAAGCTAAAGAGCCCTTACTGCAAGACACAAACGTATGACAGAAACCCCGGGAACTCTTTCAGACTTTCTTTTCGTCAGCAGTTTGGGATGCACATTCCAATTCCATCAAAAACGTAATTTCTTAAGGTAATCTTAAGAAGTATCTTTCTGCATGAAATCCATAGGAATTTTTAAAAAGGAGGATGTTTCTCCAGAGGTGTTGCCATTAAATTACAATTTTTAAAAACAAGCAGTTACATACTTGTCTCTTGCCATGAAATACTGTTACTACTAAACTTTACGTTCTAGTTGAGACAGAAAAAAAAGGAAGAGTCAAGGCATGAGCATGTGTCCTTCTGTTTCCTTAAGGTGGTGAGCTTTAATTCGAGTCATGCTGAGTCTCAATGAGACATATTAGCAGCTGCGTGGACCCATTCATTTTAATGCTGTAAAATCTTGGGTCAGACGATTCAAAGCCTTAATGTAAATGTACTCAAGTAGGGAGAAGGAGAATCGGTATCATTTATTTTAAAAGTCATAGGGCAGTGGTGTTTTTTTTTTCAAGTTTGTACTAATATAAAAATCACATGAGCACGCTTGCTGAACAGTAAATTTATTTTTATGTAAGTGCATTTACTCTTTCTATTTTTCAATAAACGGTAGTATCAGACACTTGTTTCAATATTAAGTGGGTGTTTTGAGCCTACAAGTTTTAATATTGGCTCTAAAACTCTGCTTTCCTACGTACCGTTTATTATACCACTATATTTCTGATGTTTGCGTAATCATAAAGGACCTCAAAACTTGAATACACAGACTCAACTATAAGCTGATAGCCTTGAATATGTCCGTGTGCTATATAGTGGCCTTTGAGGACTGTCACAATAACCCTTTTGCATTACAGAGTTAATGTTTTAGTCCTAAATTTTCAGGACCCTTAGTACAGAAGAGAGCTTTATACAATTACTGATGTGAATTTCTCTAAAAGTGTATATTTTTGTGTCCGGCTGTATTATTTAAGTGTTCCTTTGTATAAATTTGTGTATAAAGTATTGTATAGGTTTAAAATGTTTTCATCTTGTGGTTATTGCTTAATGCTTTTTTACCTTTGAACATTCACCATGGTTGACCAAGAGCAGGAAAAAAAAATGTAAATATACTGTTAATAAAGTTGAATATTTTAATGAATTTTTAAATTATTGTTAATGTCTCTTAAAAAGTTAACTGAAGTTCTGTAGTCTGTGTGTGTTATACTTCAGCAGGTGGGAAAAAGTCTGGAGCAGAGCCCAGCACGGTGCTGTGCCTGTTAGCTCAGGCTGCCTGGGGCAGGGCTGTTCTCCTCCCTGCGCAGAGCAGCACCAGCCCCAGCGCTGGCTCCAGAGCTGCGGGGCTCCCTGGCGAGCAGGAGATGAAAAGAGCAGCAGGTCGGTAACAGAGACCTGTGAGTATTCGGCTGCTCCTGTGTTCCTGGGCTGCAGTGGTGCCGGGCTTCTGGCCCACTGCACGTTTGTTTCATTTTAGATTTGAATAGGACTGGGAGATCTAGAAAGCTGCTGCATTTGAATTGCCAGCTTCCGTACGCTCGAGAGAAACAGACCAGCTTCACCTTGATGGACACCTGTTACAACTTAACTAGAAAGAGTAGCGAAGCACAGACCGTGGAAGGAGGCGGCTGCCGTCTGGGGACCGGGCGTGCGTCCTAGGGCTGGTCCAGTGGCACAGCCGTGCATGGGGAAATGAATAAGCTGGGAAGCAAACTTCAGAAAAAGGTAAGTTAAATAGAACAGTGCTGTTCTGGCACTTACCTCTTCTTGGAATTTCACTACACCGGACACGCTGGTGTAGTTCTTTTAAAACATTCCTCATCAGAGTTTTTGATAAAAAACATTTAATATTTCCACTGAAACTTACACATGCCAAAACAAGTATTCACATTACCATGGTACTGATTTATAAAACAGATATACACATTTTGCACTGCAAAACAAACCACTTAAATATACAGTCCTCTAAGGTATAAAAGATATCTTTAATAACAAAAGTATGCATGGTCATTAAAAAAGGGTCAATTGTGTATGCTAGAGTTACTCATTGGGACGCCAAATGAAAGATGGCATGGAATGCAGGTGACACGTGATTCTAGCATTTGAACCCAGGTAGCAGAACAAGCTGAACAGGCCCTTGAGTGTTAAGAGTATCTTAAATTTCTGTACAGTCTTACAGTTGTAAAGTATGATTAGTAAAGATAAATGAAGTCGGGTTTAGATGTTGTGATACTTCCACTAGTTAAGTGTTCAGATACTTCACTGTGTGTTTTATGCATGGTGGCCTGTAGCAAATACTGTGACCGATCAATAGAAGAGTTAACCAAATAGAAAAGGTAACCAAAAGCAGTATTTTAAAACTCTAATACCCTTCAGTGAAATAATTTAGCTTATATGCTTATATGCAATTCAAATAAGCTGGTTCCCAAATTTATCAAGTTTTAAAGTTTAAAACTGTAAGGGAAGCTCAGTGAGGCAATCGTGCCAGCTTAGGAGCTTGGCCACTACTAAAACATTGCCAGCATCCTCCTGGTCTCCAGCACTTCCTATCTGCATCATCCTTTCCCTGAAAGGAGTCAAGGAAAGTGTTCACAGACAAATGCTCTCTCAGGGAATGCCAGAGTGAGAGGACATTTCATCTGTTGCAGAGCCACGCTTCTCAGTTCCGGGAACAAAAGAAGTCAGTGCACTTGGGAGGGTTTTTAGCAAGGCTAGAGAGTCCTCACTGCGCCATGAGAAAATTCTGCCCAGCTGCTTAAAGCTTTACCTTTGCTTTTGGCTCAAGTATCCTGAAAAGTCACCCACGTAAGTCAAGTCACCTTCCTCAGAGAAAACAGATTCAGACTTATAAAATCATATCAGTTCATGTTGATACTTTACTAAGACGACATTACAGGACATCCAAAAATTCCCGAAATGGTTAAATGAGGACTCTTACTTTAAGAACCCTGTTACTATCCAGGAAAATAAGCTGAGGCTGGTGTCACTGCACCTTTTGGCGATGGTTGGGCTTTTGTTGGTAAGTAAGGCTTCAGATACTCTGTAGAACAGCAGAAACAAGATACGGTTCGTAACTTACAACCATTCAACTACATTTCAGATAAGGTCTTGGTTTACTATTTTCATACATACCTGAGTTAAGTGTGTTTTGACTAAGCCCTCGTAAAGGAATGCTGTCATCTTTTTTCTTGAAATACTTAGAATCCAGCCTCAAATTATCACCACTAAATTAAAACAAGTGTAGCTGGTTAGCAGTGCATTAACGAGTGTGAATACAGACTCATTCAGAAAATCTCACCTTGAAGTGGAACTACTACTTTTCTATGGACTTTATCATTAAAAATAAACCATCAGCAAATAGGTTCAGAACAGTCTAGAACTAATTTTTTTACTGCTCCATCACCTGATGGCCTTAGGTCTGTCACCAGGAGGGACAATGAACTTTTGTTCCTTGGGACCCACATCTGCAAGCACTGCTCTCTGTTAGCTACAAACCGTGCTCCGTGACCCAACTTAAAATTCATTAGCCTGTGACTGGAGAGGGGCAGATCATAGAAGAGCTTGCTACTGAAAATGTTCTGCTCAGTTCCAGACACACGTGGGTGACAAATGGCTTGAAAGAGAGAGACCAATATTAAAACCCACTAAAAATACAATAGAAGACACTTACTTCTCCTTATTTGCCAGGTGACCCGTTGCAGTCACTGTCTGAACATCCAAACATCGATTCATTTGAGCAAGCTGGGTGTTCAGCTGCATCTGCAGAAACATCAGAGCTGGAGGTTAAGGAGAGCGATGGCCCAGCTGCCAGGAACCAGCCAGTCAGGCGGGCAGGGAAGGGGTCAGGGCCGGACACCCCAGCCGGCGCCACACGGAGCACGTGCCAGCACTGCCCAGGCCCGGCAGGGAGAACGTCCCAGACCGGGAGTTTCAGAGCACTGGAACAGCCGAGCGCCACCTGGACAGCGGGAGGGCTTCTCCAGCTGTCTCAGTACGTATATCAGTAAGACAGACAGACACCATAGCTGTCTTGATTTGTTTAGGTATTATGTAGAATATATAAAGAATGTATTAAATACATTAGGTGTTACTAGTCCCCATGTGTTGCCTGATCTAGTCGAGAGGTGGTGTCCCTGGTGACAGGGAGGCTGGATTAAATGATCTCTGAGGTCCCTTCCAGCCTGGGCCATTCTGTGATTGTGTGATACCGATTTTACATTTTTTTAGATCTATTTTTTAGAATGTAGATTTTAGATTTAGAGTTTGGCTTTAGAATTTGGATTTAGAATTGAGATTTTTGATTTGTACTTTAGATTTTTAGGTTTAGATTTTAGATTGAGAATTTAGAATCAAGATTTAGAATAGAATCAAGATTAAAATTTAGATTTTACATTTAAAATGTGGATTTTAGATTTAGAATGTCGATTTTAGATTTACAATTTAGGTTTAGTTTGGAATTTATAATTAGAATTTAGATTATAGATTTAGAATTTAGATTTTAGATTTAAATCTTAATTAAATCTTAGAATCTTAATTCTAAAATCTAAATTCTAAATCTAAAATTCTAATTCTAAATTCCATATATAAATATTAAATCTAAATTCTAAATCTAAAATCTGAATTCTAATATTTAGCTATAGACTCTAGATATATTTCTGTATTTCATGTATATTTTATATTTTTATATTATATA